AAATTCTCAAAAATAAAAGAAAAATATCAAAACTATGAAAGTATTTACATGGACGGCTCAAAAGACGAAGAAAAAAACAGGCAGCGCAGCAATAACAAAAAAAACAATTATCAAAAAACGCTTGCCAAATGAAGCATCAATTTTCAGTGCAGAAGCTTACGCAATAAAACTCGCACTAAATTTCATATCAAAAAACAAAGGAGAAAACTATATTATTTTCTCAGATTCATTATCTGTATTAACATCCCTAAAAGGGAAAAGACTGGAAAATCCATTAATACAAAGTCTTCTATATAAACTACATTCAATGGAAAAAAGCAAAAATATCATCTTCTGCTGGATTCCTAGCCATGTTGGCATCCAAGGAGGAGATAAGGCAGATACTGCTGCCAAATCATCTTTAAAAATGACAATTGATGAAAATCTTCAAATTCCATATACAGACTTAAAATCTAAAATAAATAAATACATAAGAAACAAATGGCAAAATTCATGGAAAAACCAAACCGGAAATAAACTATTTCAAATTAAACCTAAAATAGGAAAATGAGGAAATAATCTTGGAAATACTCAGAAAAAACAAGTCATCATAACCAGAACACATACAGGACACACATACTTAACCCATTCTTAGATATTAAAAAAGACAAATCCACCAAAATGTAGATGTGGAAGCCTAATCACAATAAAACATATTCTATTGGAATGCAAAATCATAACTAAAATAAGACAAAAATATCTCAATGGAAAAGGTTTAAAAGAAATTTTCAAAAATACAGATACAGATAAAATATACAATTTTCTCAAGGAAATAAAGATCCTCAATAAAATATAACCCTTTCAAATAGGGTATATGTATGTGTATATGTGTTTATAGACATATATATGCATGTATGGATGTAAATATGAAAATATACAATCAGAAACAATCACAAGAAAAAGCAATCCCAAAAAATACAGAAGATTATGAAACCCAACAGCCTTTCAACCTTTTATACAATATAACCATCTTAAATTCATAAATTAATAAGGCTTCGGCATAAAATGACCCAAATAGGAGTTGACATGCCATTAAATCCAACATCCATCCATCCAGTTCTCTCCACATATATGAATTGAAAGCTTGAGAGACATTCACTCAAGTATAGTATGTCCCTGGAAAGTAGACCTGGTGGAGATTATCTCCTTCTAGGTCAAACCACAGCTGATGCCTCCAACTTGTAGGCTTGTCATGGTCACAGTCGTGTGGCTGTTGATTCCATCAGGAGAACCCCCTTCTCTTGCTCTTATAATCATACTCCTGGGTATGATGATAAACTACATCTGGCAGCAAGGCCTCTGATCAGGAGGTTTTCCAGAGCATGGAACCACCTCTCAGGTCAACCCTGACCCAGGATGGTAGCAACTGCAAAAAAATGCAGTTGGTGTGTTCAAGGCTATGGGCAAATAGTGAACAATCAAACTGGGATCAAAATTCTATCAAAGTATAACATTTTTTATAGTAAAAATACCAGTAATACATTTTCATAGTAAAAACTATTACTAGCCATACTTTTTATTATAACAAAAAAAATGACCAGCAATGCATTTGTCAAAGAAATTACTAATGCTCCCAAGAAAATTAAATTTTAGTATTAAGGAGTTGATATGCCACTAAGCAAACAAATAATCTGGCTGTTAACTTCAGGTTAGGAAGCCCTTTGCCTAGCACACTGTCTGCATGCACAGCTATAGAGGCCAGTCTACCCCATTGTGTTGCATGGTCTTTGATCCAACAAGAAGTTTCATCTGCCTTTTGACATGTTTTGTTTTTAATCCTATTGGGTTTCTAGCGAGCTTAGGTGACCTGGTATAGTTTCCAATGAACTCACCATGTAGCAGTTATTACTGAGTTACATTGTGCCAGTAACACTTGTAGACTGACTTGAAATAATGTCATAAAGAAAGTTAATGACAAATGCAGTAGTCAGTGCAGTCAGTAAAAAGAAATTCCTGAATGCAGTTTTTATGTTAATGTACTGAGTGGATGTGGCAAAACATGTTTTTATCTTGCATTCATCAAGTATCCTGAAGAGATATTGTTGCAAAATTGTTGTCTGGTGGTAAAAATTATTTAAACTACTTGTAGCATTGACTGACACAAATACTTGTAATATATTTCCTATTTTTGATGAAACCTTTTTGTTCATAGATTAAGACTTAATGAAGCATTGATGTTGCCAACTTTTAACTTGCATGCTATTTATGAATACCAGCATGATATTAAGAGTGTATTTATGGTCAAAAGATAATTCTCTTGTGAGTAAATCGCAGACAAAATTGATTTATTCTTCTACAGACGACACACGGTTCATTGATATTATCTGTTGGCAGGATAAATCAACTGCATTTTTACAACCAAAGTGTGTTGTTTGGCAGGAGCAGTGTTTTAAATACAGCCAACTGAACGCATTTTTTAGCGTAGACACAACGGGTCTGTGTTGTTGTGAGCCACGGTCTGAACGCATGCTCGAGCGTAGACACAGTGTTTGCCTACAGATTGAACGCATGCTGTAGACACAGCCACGGTCTGAACGCATGCTCGAGCGTAGACACAGCCACGGGTCTGAACGCCATGAACGCATGAGCGTAGACACAGCCACGGTCTGAACGCATGCTCGAGCGTAGACACAGCCACGGTCTGAACGCATGCTCGAGCGTAGACACAGCCACGGTCTGAACGCATGCTCGAGCGTAGACACAGCCACGGTCTGAACGCATGCTCGAGCGTAGACACAGCCACGGTCTGAATGCAGGCTTGGTGTAAAACATGACGTATGTTTGCCTAGAGACTGTGGTGTAGACAGCCAATGTTTGCCTATAGACTCTGGTATAGACGCAGTCAGTTTTTACCTGCAGACTTAATGATAATAAAACAAAAGCAGATTTTTTAGCATTAAATATCTAAACGTCACCCAATTTATTGGAGTCAAGAGTATGTGAAGTGCAAAGGACCCCCCACCTGTTTACCATATCTATGTCTATGTTTTTGGGCCTCATGCAAACAGGATCAATGTCTCATTTATTAAAACAACTGAATTTGGTATTAAATAATCTGGAAAAAGTTGATATGTCATGAAACAAAAAGTAAACCAAATGACCAGATAAGTGTTGCTATGTTATTAAATCCACAAACACAACCATATTTTAGATACCTACCTCAAGTACTCTGATAACTAATTCTGATGCACTCATTATAATCAGCTAATTCACAATATGTGTGTAACAGAACTAAGGTATGTTTCAGATAGGTTAAGGAACCACTCTTTGTCTAGTCATCACTCTTAAGAATTCTTTAAAATTGTGTAAAGTACTGTGCTAGGAACTTTTGTCTTAACCTCGTGCCCAACACTGCAAGTTGCTACAATACCAGAATATTAACCTGAGAACTTGAGTCATGTTCTTAAATAGCCTGGATGTTATGCATGGTGTCCAACTTGTTCAGAAATGTCTTAACTATCATCTATTTACAACTGTTTTCTCAGATCAATGATTGAAAATGACTTCAAGTTCAAGCAAATGAATCATCAAGCTCTTAAAGGAGACAATCCTTCATCGCATTTTGTAGACTGGTACTACAGAATGACAAGCAAAGAGCTTTACAAAATAACAAAAGCTATATCACTTGAGGACTTCCAATAGCAGCAACAGCTAAAATAGATAGCACATGTAACTAGAAGGGAAAATCATAACATAATCAAGATGTTGACTTTTCACATTACCTTTTTGTTAGGAAAGAAACCCTTATCAAAAATAGGAGTGATAATGGACTTAAAAAAAAACTTTCTTTTTCTTTTTTTGTATTTTGTTTGCAAAACTGTTTTAAGAAAGAGATTTTTTTATAAATTTTAATTGACAGTAATAGTATTTTATCAATGAATGCTGAATTTTTCTGTATGGAAAATGTCAATGTTACCATTAATATTCTTCTTTTATGTGACATATCCCTTCAGGACGTTGGCAATCATGGCTATTTCTGCTATTTGTTGCTCTTAATAACTTTTGTCATTTAGCCATCTCTCCTAAAACTTACTATGCTATCCATTCACTCAAGCTTGCCAGATAGGTTGTGCATTGTTTTCCTTTGGCCCTCTTACCTTCAATCTGTCCTGTGAGTATCAAATTTTTCAATCCTTCTTTCCTCATTATGTGTCCCAGAAATTTCAACTATCTCTTCCTGATATTAAGGAAGCATAAGTATCCATTTTGTTGTAATTGTCTCTAGAACTTTGTCGTTGCTCGCATGTTTGGTCTATGGTATTCTCAGTATCCTTGTGGAGAACTACATTTCTGTTCTTTCAAGTCTCTTCTTCATCTGTAAGGAGATTTCCAACATTCACTGCCATAGGACTGATACTACATAACAGTTTACTACTCTTTTTTTTTGACCTTTAGAAATACCATCATAAATTACAAATTGATGTCAAGGGCAATAACTTATTTTTAAAAAATAAGTTATTATCTCCCTTGAATACCTTTTCGCAAAGTATATCCACGAATGAGAAGTATTCTTATATGGTCCGTGTAACCTTCAGGATGCAGGCAATTGTGACTCTACAACTTTTTTCTTTTTCTTTTTCTTTTTTTTTTTTTTTTTTTTTTTTTTTTTCTTTTTTTTTTTTTCTTTTTCTTTTTTTTTTCTTTTTTTTTTTTTTTTTTTTTTTTTTTTCTTTTTTTTCTTTTCTTTTTTTCTTTTCTTTTTTTTTTTTTTTTTTTTTTTTTTTTTTTTTTTTTTTTTTTTTTTTTTTTTTTTTTTTTTTTTTTTTTTTTTTTTTTTTTTTTTTTTTTTTTTTTTTTTTTTTTTTTTTCTTTTCTTTTTTTTTCTTTTTTTTTTTTTTTTTTTTTTTTTTTTTTCTTTTTCTTTTAATTTTGACCCCTTTTTTTTACCCCCTGTTCACCCATTAAGTTAATTTATTCCTATTACTTGAGATTAAATTTCAATGCCTATTTTCTGTTATTAGCAGGTTCCTCATCAGGCCGACATCGAAGAAAATGGAATGCTCTACCTGTGGATTTAGAAGTTCCAAAAGAAGTAAGCTCATCCTTTTCTTGGAAATTTGTCATTAACGTATCAATTTTACTTTTTTAAATATCCCTTTAGTATGTAGGCAATCATGATTCTCAACAGCATTTTTTTCTTTTTTTTTCTTTTTAATTATCTGTAACCTTCTTATTGTCATGATTATTCTCAGAAAAGATAGTGGTGTGTTTTTTTTTCTTGATTTTTACATGGTCTTGAATTCAAAGTTTTTTTTTTTTTCTCCTTGAGTAATCAACAAAGGCTAGAGATAGCCCGGTCTGGTGTTCTTTATATTTAGAGATTCTTGATAAAATCCAAAGAAGAATATGCAGTGTTATTGGTTCTGACCTGACATCTCTGGTTCAGTCGCTTTTCCACCTCAGTAATGTAGCTTCGCTGTGCCTTTTTTATAAATACTTTCATGGTAATTGTTCTGACCAACTTTCCACTATGGTACCTAGACTTTATAAATTTAAGTAGAGTAATAGATTGGTGTCAAGGTCTCATCATTTTATAGTTGGAATGCACACTTCTCGCTTGTGGAACATTCTTCTGGCTTCTTGCTTCCTCCTAGTCAAGTTTGATCTTCAAAAATATAAACATAATGTCATTTGTTATCTTCTTAATTACTGTTCTTTTACTGTTTGCTCTCCTTGATAGATTTTTTTCCTCATATTCTCTTGATGAGTTAGAAGCCATTGTCAAAATGCAAGATAAATAACATGAACAGAATTAGTAAAGTTTGCAATGAAAAGAAAAAAGTAAAAAATAGATGAAACAGCAACAATCATGCAAGAAAACAAGCAATATAGTTAAAGCAAATCAAACAGGTAAGAAATCAAAAGAATTCACAAACTATGAGTTGGTGTTTGTACACAAAAGCAAGGTCGGATAAGTGAACGCAATAGGTCTGTTTAGTAGTTAAGGCAGAGCTAGACTAAGTCATGTCAAAATGCGAGCTGTCCCATTTTGACTATAAGAAGGGGAAGGGAAAACTTTTGCAATCATTCCTAATACTTAACATCTAATATTCAGTAATCTCTTGCGTCTTAGTTGCTTTATTGCCTTGCTTGGGGTGAAATGATTAAAAAAGGTGTACAATTGAAAAAGCCACTAAGATGCAAGGGGATACTGAGTGTGAAAGAATATGAGATAAAAAAAATCATTATTAAGGAGAGAGAACAATAAAAGAACAGGAATTAAGAAGATAGAAGATAATGTTTCATATTGCATTTGAATCTTTGAAGATCAAAGTTAACTGGAAAGCAAGATTCCAGAAGAGAGTTCCACAAGTGAAAAATGTGAAAGAAGAAACTGTTAGCATAGAACTTACAGTGCGGGGAAAGTTTATCCCGGCTTTCCTGCATCCAAGGGTTGAGGTTAAAAAATTGCTACAAAATGCGAGTAAAAAACAGCAAGATTAGAGCAGACAAACTCTCTCTTTTAGGTGCAGACGAATAAAGGAAAAACTCCTGCTCGGTGTGTAACAACAAAAGAAGAAAGTGTTTATTTACATATACAGAAAAAAAGAGTAAAGGGATAAAGACAATTAGGAGTGAAAGAAAGGGAAAAGAGAAAATGTCCTTTAAGGGAAGAGAATATGTTCATAACAGAAAAATGGCTTGCTCAAAATATTTTTCTGATTGCCTAAAAAGTTCTTTAAGTGAGTAGAATTTTGTTAAGGTTTAGAAACATTCACAGTTCTTGTAGAGTAGGAAAATTGTTGCTAGATATAGGAATTTTGCAGTTGAGTGAGTTCATAAGTCGATGACAGAAGTCCAGTGGGCACAACAGAAGGAGTGGTGAAGGGATGCAGCTTTCAACTGGTCTTGAATTGTGGGCCGACGTTTGTTCTCTGCAGCCCTTTAGTAGGTAGCTCTTCTTTGGTTGAAAGTGGTTCTGAAGTTGACTGGAGCTCCCTATTGTCGACCTCACAGATGGTGGTCGAAATTCTCACTGCCAACTAGGTGTAGATTCTCCAAATTTATAGAGATTTGAGAGATTTTCCCCCCAAAATCGTTGTACAAATTTCCTGGACCCTCTATTGGTCAGAAAACACATTATTATCTCTGATAAGAATCAGGGCTCTGGGAGCTGGTTTTGAAAGTAATGAAAACGGGTTGGAGTGAACAAGCTGTAAGGCTTCCCCCAGACTTTATGGCACCATGGAAAGAATAATGGTGGTGGAATTCCTTTTTATATTTTCCAGCTCTCTCGTTAGTCAGAAAATATATTCTTATCTCTGATAAGAATCAAGACTTTGGGAGCCGGTTTTGAAAGTAAAAAGAGGTTGGAGTGAGGATAGAGAAAATAGCGAGAATGTGAACTTGTAAAATATTGTTCTCAAATTAAATTCCAACAACAGTTACATCTAGCTATCTCAACTGTAAAATGATGAGACCTTGCTGCCAATCTAGTATTGTGCTTAAATTCATAAAGTTGTGGTACTGAAGAGAAAAGCTCATCAGAACAATTATCATGAAAATATTTATAGAAAAATCACAGGAAAGCTGTGTTATGGTGGTGGGAGAGTAACCAAAGCTGAAATTCTTCTTTGGAATTTTATTGGTGCTGTGTATGTGGAAAAAATATTTTAAGTAATTTTGTTCATTTGAAGAACGCTGCTGGTGCAGACAATTGTAACAACAACATCAACAGTATATAGTGGGTGAGGAGAAATAAATGGATTGATGCATTTTGAAAGGGAAAAAGGCATGAGTTGAAGCATTGTCATTATACTGCTGAAGCTAGCCCCAATATCAACAAAGCAAGGTGGCTGGAGTCAATTTTAGAACAGACTGTGCATCATTAGTCAAAAAAATTAATTTCTGGTGATTTGGATCTCTAAGTTGAACCTGGTACATTGTTTCATATTGTCACCTGAAAATTGAATTGGATAGAATTAGTGTATTTTACAACTGTGGTTATTTAATGTTAAAATCTGGCTTTGTTATATTTTAGTCTATACTATATACTTGAGTCTATAAGTATATGTTGATTGAGTTTAATAACAAGTTCTTTGGCACACAGGTTTAATAACTGAGGCTGTAGACACACACTGGTCAAGTTTAATAACTGTCTACAAGCAAACCACCTAAGAGGTGATTCTTTTTAGTGCGTGTTTCACCTTTCTGCAAGGAAAGCATTCAGCATATTCTAAACTGTATGTGATCTGGGATTACAAAGGAAATGTTTGTCGCAGATTATTTCCACATCACAGAATAAATCACTAAGTTCAGACTTGAACATCGGAGCAGAAAGAAATGCTGAAAACTTGATTCACAGGTACTATCTCACGAATCACAATGCATGTAACCAGTCAGAAAAATAACTCATTTTCCAACAAACTCGGTAGCCAAAATACCCCAATTTTTTTCACAGATTTGAGAACACCAACTGCTTTTATTGGGTCATCATTTTTTCCATTTTTCGACAGCTGGGAGAGGATGTTCAGTAATTTGCATATCAAAATACTTTTATAGCAACTCCTGCAACAGACTTGTTTTTTAATTCAAATATTCCCTCTTCAGCATGTCATGCGGAATATGTGCCCTTTTGTTTGGTAAGTAATTTTCTTTTTCACCACATTTTCTGTCGTAGAATACACACGACACACTGTCAGTTGGTTTGACAAGGTAAGTCACCATTTTCTTCGCTATATAGACTTTGCTGATCAGGCAATTGACAGTTAAAAGCAACAGCATTACTCATCTTGGAGCAACACTGGAGGTAGCTTCTGCTATTAAGACATTTGGTACAAGTTGACAAAGTTAAAAAAAAATGATGCAACAATTTAGTTGATCATATGCTTATTGTTGACGGATTGAAAAACTTGCGCCCAGTCAACATTCCCAAACTAAAAATCCTTATTTGACTGGTAGTGAATTTACGGAGTAATGTATTGCAACCTCTTGTAACCTGACCAGAGTCTTATGGACATAATTTTCAGTTGATGCTTCAAATGTTGCAAATATTTTCACCAACAGTAGTAAAAGAAGAGGTCTGTCTTGCTGCAGGATATTATAAAAATGTTTATTTAAATCCATTTGGCAAAAAACTGACGCAGTCAGGCATCAAGGTCTTGTAACACTGCTTCTATTCAAAAGATACATATCCCACCGATTACCATTTTAAACTGTTGACTCTTGTATCAACCTTTTTTTTCCTTTTTTAAATCAATCCTGCCTCACCTCACCCCACCCCAAGCAAGGTGATAATTCCACTAAGACACAAGAAACTACTGAGAGTGAAAGAGAATGAGAAAAATTTAAAACTAACTGGAAACCCAATCCTAAACAAGGGATAAAACCAGAGAATATTTTTAGATATAATAATTATTTACTGATATAAGTTCTACTAATTATCCCATAGCTATGAGGAGAAGAGGTGAACTTATGCCTTTCTCAATGGTATTTGAACGTAAATGAATATAACGAGCCTAACTGGAATTGGAAATTGGTTCTTTGATCTCAAATTCTGAGCTTGAGATGGAAATTGCAGTTTTAAAATGGAAATTTTCTTTTTACTAACAATCAGATTTAACAACTGCCATTTTTATTTGATACTCTGTTTGCCTTTCTTAAGTCACTCGACCCTGACTGTTGCCCTCCAGTTTACAGTATTTATTTAGGAACCAAGTTTTATGAAGTTTGCTTGATTTAATATAAAAAAAAAAGTGGAAGTGAGCGTAAAGCAAACATTTTGTCTTTTTTTGTTTTATCCTTTCTTTTTCCTATCACATATGGTGACCAAAGTGGAGGACAGTTTGTCATTTCAGAAGACAAATTTTATGAATGTAACTTTTTCCAAAAATTTTAATAATCTCAATAGGGACCAAATGATAATGTAGACTTTTTATCTCTAGATGACATTTCAACCACAATTTATTTATGGAAATCAGTTTGAAACTGGACTTTTCTGTTTGCCTTCTTTAGTTTTTTTTTTTTTTTTTTTTTTTTAAACATTGTTTGGTGTCTTTACTGATTTCAACCTGGCAACCCTGTGTACCACAC